ATCTTAGTAGGACTTTCCGAAAAGGTAAAATGGGACAATCTTAGCGGGACGGAGGGAATATATATTTTGAAACAACATACGAATTCATTTAAAAGTTATTCCAAAAATCAAAGAAAAAAGTATAGTAAACTAGCAAAACCCGGCAAAGAGAAACATTTAGTTCGATATGCCACCTACAGGGCTACAGGCTACAACACAATAGGAACCCCAACATAATATTACGCGGTATTATTTCCTAACTTTTATACATTTGATTCGTTTACATGGTGAAGACTCATGCATTAATAAAAAAAATGAAAACGTAATATATGATGCCTATTATATTAAGACTGGTTGCACTTGTTAATAATTTATAAAAACGTAATACGAAGTATATGACCTGGTTGCAATTATAAATAATTTATTATCAAAAACATCAACAAGCGGTTCTATGGTGTAGTGGTTAGCACTCTGGACTTTGAATCCAGCGACCTGGGTTCGACTCCCGGTAGGACCTTTTTATCTCGAAAAAGTATATCCATCTTTTTTGAAATTACAAGTTTTGACCAAAAAGGGGCATTCCGAGAATCGAACTCGGGACCTCTCGCACCCGAAGCGAGAATCATACCACTAGACCAAATGCCCGGCTTGATGCTTATTGAGCCATTTCATTATTTATTCGTGAAACGTCTTGTCTAAGCTATTCAAAGAACTTTCACATCTAACCTAAGTTACCTATTAAACACTCCATTTGACTAGGCACGAGGTTAATATAGAAAAACTATGTATACACATTTCACGAATTGCCCATTTCTAGAAAATCAATAGGTATTTATACACATTAATTCTCAATATAAAATTGCATGACATATCTAAATTATACGTAGTAACACCTATATTTTGAAACCACACTCCTTATGTCTCACTATAATTGTTCAATTTTCCTTTTTTCTTCATTATTAATCACATATATAATTGTCCAATTTTTCCTACTTAACACGAGATTAATATAGAGAAAATATGTATACACATTTCACAAATTTTCCATTTCTAACTTTATTTTCACTTTATCAATTCATTATCAATCACATAGCTATATTTAAAAAAAAACGGCATCACTCCCTTTTTCTTCATTCTTAGGAGCGGATGTAGTATTACTTTCAAGTTTCAATCATTGAGTGAAGGAACTGTTTGAGAGTTTGTGACCCATTTCAATAGAGCAAATGGCATATTGAAAACCTGTTTGATGTAATACGGAGTATATGTCTAGTTATATGATTTGATATCATCTGTCTTATTATTAGAATTTGGGAATATAACTTTTATCGAATTAGAGACTCACAGTCAATAATATAAATCTAAAACTCGTTGATTTATCAAAAATCATTTTATATTAGAGTTAATTATCAAAATAGGACTAAAAGTCATTCACTTTGCACAAATAGGACCAAAAAATAAACTATGTTTCCATAGGACTAATTATGTTTGTCTTGGACAAATATACCCTTATACCTATTGGAATGTTTTAATTCATAATAAAATAATAAAAAATAATGAAAATTCGTAAAATATACCAAAAAATTAATAAAAATATTTTGAATAATAATAAATTTAAAAAAAAAATTAAAAAAAAAAATAAAAAATAAAAAAAATTAAAAAAAATTAAAAAAAAATCAAAAAAATATTTTTTTTGTCACCGCCGCCTATACCGCCCCAGCACCACCACCTCTAGTCATTTGGGGAAAAAATGCCAAATTTATTATGAATTCCATATTTTTGGCATAATTCAGAATGATTTAAGATGGAAGAAAAAAAATGTTGGCATTCTCAAAGAGAAATATGCCATATTTTTGGCATTTTCCGAAAAAAATGGAAGTTTGTAGGAAATGTGACATTTTTTTTAACGGTCGGAGGTGGTGGTGCAGGGAGGCGGTACCACCACCTCCTGTCACCGGGGTAAAAAAATGCCAAAAAAATTATGAATGCCATATTTTTGGCAAAAGTCAAAAGGATTCAAGTTGGCAGAATGAAAATGTTGGCATTCTCATAGAGAAATATGCCATTTTTGTGGAATTTAAAAAAAAAGTGGCATTTTTTACACCGATCGGAGGTGGTGGTTCAGGGAGGTACTACAGGCGGTGGGAAAGGTATCCATATTTTTTATAATTTTTTTTATGGAGTTTTACTATTTTTTTTATTAATTTTCAAAAAAAAAAATTTAAAAAAAAATTTTTTTTTCTTATTTTTTATTTTATAAAAATTTTATTAATTTTTTTATTATTTTTCTACGAATTATTGAAATTTTTTCGAATTTATTATGAATTAAACATTTAATTATGACTTTTAGCTATCTTTTACTAATATTTAAAGGAGGGGCAAGAATGGAAGAAAGAAATGAGTATGTTTCCAATAGGACCACTATGGTCCTATTTTGGGAAAAAAACATAGCAAGTCCTATTTTGAGTTTTTGCCATAGTTTTAGTCCTATTTGAAGTAATTTCTCTTTATATTATGTTCAAAATTTCCTTTTTCTTCCCAAAATTATCTTTGTTTTCCCTTTTTAACGGAAAATTTGCGGGTCACAGCAATTCTAACACGTTTTAACACATTTCTCTCATTTGTCTCTCATTTGCACAATTCTCCGCCATACAATACCCACTATCTTAATATGTGTGCCAGTTGTACTCCAGGAGATAAATTAGGGACCGAAGGAGTATAAAAGTAAAAACAAATACTATAAACATTTCTGGTCGACCAATTACTTTTACAAATATAAAAAATCAGTTCTCTTTTACAACAACACAAATGCATTTTGAGTTTAAAACAACTGAAAGATGCTCCCAAATTCATAAAAAATGAAACTAATGGGTATTATAATGTAAACTGTCCAACTAAGTCATAACAATTTTAATCAAAATTAAAATATTTTTTTACATTCATATAAACTATTTGAGGTCTACCAAAATCAAAGTCACTGTTATTTAACGATCTTTGATTATATAAAATATATTTGAAATAGAATCAAGAACTCATTTAGTAACACTGAAATTAGATGAAGCAGTTGAATTTGATGAAATTGCTCGAGCTCTAATGGGTGAATTGGTTGAATGTTGTGAAATAAGGGGAAGAATGTATTCTAATTTTTTAATCAAATTAAGAAAAAACTAAAATTACATTCTTCGAAACAACAAGCCTATTCAATTATAAAAGTTAGTGCGACGATCTTACTTCTTAGGCAAAATCAGTCAAATCAAATGTTTAGGGCAAAAAATTGACTAATTGAACTGATTAGCCAAATATAGAGATATCAAACGGATTCTAAATTATATGAAAGCTTTAGCATCATTTTGTACCGAAATTATCCGTCATTGTAAATTTTCACATGAAACTAGAATTTTATGAAATATACACAATCTATTTTAGTTAAATCCACAATATTTTCATACCAAATGATGTTTAGAAAAGCACATCTTCTTAAACTGTTGAATTAAACTATGTATTATGTAGAACATGCATCATTAATTTTTCGATTTTTTAGTTAACTGACTACAAATCTACAATCATTTCATAAATTTGTAATCGTCCAGTAAAAAATCAATCAATTGCACCGCAAGTTTTCAAAAGTTTTAGTTATGTTTTTTGTCCAGTGATGATTCTTGCAATCATTCCTCGACCTCTTTTACTATAAGAGATGTTTTTTTCTATTAGGAGATAAATAAATAAATAAATAAATAAATAAATAAATAAATAAATAAATAAATAAATAAATAAATAAATAAATAAATAAATAAATAAATAAATAAATAAATAAATAAATAAATAAATAAATAAATAAATAAATAAATAAATAAATAAATAAATAAATAAATAAATAAATAAATAAATAAATAAATAAATAAATAAATAAATAAATAAATAAATAAATAAATAAATAAATAAATAAATAAATAAATAAATAAATAAATAAATAAATAAATAAATAAATAAATAAATAAATAAATAAATGGTTGCAATTGTTAGTTGTTACTTTTTAATAAAGTGTCGTGGCCTTTAAGAATGAGTATTTTAGACCAACTTTCATACATTTTAGAGTGTTATACACTTATATAAGTAAGGACGGTAAGGGCGGATCCGATCCATTTTCCATTCCCAAAAGGCCAAAAGAGGTGAATAGGAGGTAAGGTAATTTTTTTCTAAAGTAGACATTTTGAGAACTTTAGAAATAATTAGCGTTTGAACCGTAAAGTTCAAAAAATATGCTGAAGAGAGGTGCAAACTCAATTTAGAGGAAAAATGAGAGCAAAAATTGTTTTTTAGATTACAAATACAAACAGTTTTTTAGAGAAAAATGTGCACACTCGTTGTTTTAATCCTACTCCACATCGTACTATACTACCACCTTCATTGTTTCACATTGTTTTATAAAAAATCAGAAAAGGAAACAACATAGTTTTATTTTGGAGGGACTGGAACCAGAAAACTGATTTTATGAGAGCCCATTTCATCACAACCTCATATTATGCATGAGATAAGTGGAACTGAATCGCACAGACTGAAGTTCATGTAATTTTAGCACAACCTCAGCATTAGGGCTGGACTCGGTCCGGGCCCGGCCAGGAAAGGGGAGGCCCGAGCCCGAACCGCCGGTGGCCGGTTCCGGGCCAAACCGGGCCAGGCCGGGCCGAACCGGCCCAATTAATTTTTTTTTTTGTTCTCCTATTTAATCCCCTACCCCTCCCCCTCAGCCCCAAACCATCCCAAATGGCCCAAAATACCTAATCCAACCTATAACTTAAAAAAAATTCAAAAAAAAAAAAATAAAATCCGGCCCGGACCAGGCCCGAACCGGCCGGGCCGGTTCACCAAAACCTGGGCCCGAGCCCGGACCGCCCAGCACCCGGGCCGGGCCAAACCGAACCGGTGGACCCACCGGGCCACGGGCCGGGCCGGGCCAAACAGTGACCAGGCCGGTTCGGTCCCGGGTCGGGCCGCCCGGCCCGAGTCCAGCCCTACTCAGCATACATATCAATGTAATGTAATCATACTTCAGAGTAAAAAAAAATGTACAGAGTTCATATTAAAAGGAACAGCAAGCGCCTGATGCCCAATAAAATAATCAATGTTCTTGACGATATAATTTCATGCTGCCATCACGGTTAATCTCACTGTAGTGAGCAAATGATGGTCACTAAGCTTAAACGCTGCATCTAAACATCCAAGAAACTAATTAAGATCATCACCCGATGACGAATCTGAGTCTACATGCATCCCAAAGTCATCTCTTGTTGCCATATCCTGAATGCAGGAAGTCAAAGATTATGGCATCAGACAGAAAACATCAAGAAGATTGCAACTATTATGATGAATATTTCACACCTGCTTTTTATCCCAGTCTTTCAACTTTGGATTCGTGGTTATCATGTAATTGTCCCTCAATGGAGCCCAAGCAGGGCCATCTTTACCTTTTGACCCAACAGAAGAAGTTTCACCCTGCATCCATGCAAATAAGAATATTCATTAACTGAATAGCAATTGAATGAGAAATGGCAATATGAAAAATTCAAGCATGTTTTGGAAAGGAAGAGTTAAAAAGTAGTGGTGATTCTTGAACATGCAAATAGGTGAGAGAACACACGGGGGAGTACCTTTTGAAAAACACTAGCTGGAGACTGCGATGAGGTCTTCCCTAACTCAGACAAAAAAGCATCTTTCTTTCGCTTCTTTATTACTAACAGATCAGACCATTAAAAAGTATTACGAACCAAAATGTGATCCAACAATAATAAAAGCATTTAAAGAAGAATAAATCAGAGTTTTATGCACATCAACTCATGCACCATGTTTATATATGACTCACTAATACTCCCTTCAGTCCATATTTTTCTTCTTACTTTTTTGCAATGTCCCGAAATTTGCATTATATTTCCATAAGCCAAGATTTGTGTGGTTGATATTGCTACTCTACTCTGATTTTTACTTCAAGGACAACCATACAATTTCACTTTCTTAATCATCCATTCATCCATCATTCATCATCATTACCCCAGTGCCACAATTTCACTTCTTAGCAAGGAAGTGAAAATCAAACTAAAGAAGAATTTAGAACAGAGGGAGTAGCTATTTTTTACATATCCAATTTGAATAGCCTTTAATTTGATTATTGAGTGGAGAACCACAAGAAAAACATACTAACTGTTCCAACAACAAAAGCAAAAAAAAAGAGGACCTAAATGATCTCAGGTGTATGATTACATTGGACTATTAGAGTTCATTACTAAATGAAGTCATCTTATATTGCACCCCTACAACTTACGAGCATCACTTGGTTTCAGCACACTACTTAAGAAAGGATAGATGTTTGGAAGAGGAATCGCAGTAACATTCGTTAATTTCACTTACTTTTTTCATCTTTTGACCTTGATGGATTTAAGCCTCTTTGAGCATGTTGAGCCTTGTTAACCTGGAACAGAAAAGAAACAATTAACTATATAAATTCAAAAAGTCACACCCAATGGAAACATGTTGATCATAAAGTGGCTATTTAAAGATAGAACTTTGAGAAAGACTTACAGCATTGAACAACTTGACCACTGGGATTTCAGCAACACAGAAAGGGGATATAGAAGGAAGTTAGTTTCATGTCCTAATAAATGGAGCAAATGTCATTTGATATTTGATTCATTAGAAGCTTAATATGGTACCTCCTTTCGTAGCAATTCCTATCAGAAACTTTTCATGAATATCCAAGTAGTTAGCAGGTTTGACGTGATTCTTTTCTCCGATCTTGTAAACAGGTCAGGATGGATGAGAATAGAACACAATATTAGTTAAGCATGTAAAAATGTTATATATAATAAAAGTATATATACCAAGTGTTTCTCCTTCTTTGCATCACCCTTCACTTTCCATTCTGTTTCTTCTTCAGCAAGCTTCTCTGCTACAAGCTTCTTATGTGCTGATAACACCGGACCCTGCAAAAGGACTTTCACTCATTATTATCATAAACAATGTCAACATTTGTACTGTTAGTATTACAAACACAAATATCACTCGTGCATATATATAAAGCCCCAAATCCACATGAAGAAGACTACTGACTATTAACTTTAGGCTTTAAAACTCTATGAGGTACACTGCTCTCAGCTATTGCTTATTCCCATGATGAAGGGAATAAAGGGAATTTATTTAATCATTTTTTTGTTTTAAGGTATAAAGGGAATTTATTTTTGAAGAGCTAACATGGACAAAAAAGGGATGATTGGTAAATATGCATTGAATTCTAAAAACAATAATTGTTTTGGGATTTTTTTTGGGCTAAACTACTTGTATTAATTTGGGAGTAAGGGAGTACTTGTTTTCATAGCAATATAGTACAAAGGTTGGATAACTGGTGTAGGATTACATATATGATAACTATATAACGCCCCAGCATCAACAAGAACACTTTAGCAAGGATTATGGGGTAGACTGAGTAATAAAGGCTATTTAGGTTACACTGGGATTAGCAAGGGACTAAGAGGTTTAAGCGCAGCTGAAAAAAGAAATAACTAAAGTGTGAGGTGGCTACCGACCAATATATCATCAGAAGCAGTGCTTTTTAGTATTTTCTTGAAGGCCATTTTGAATGCCTTACATCCCTCCATGAACTTGGTAATTCCTGGCTGAATTTCCCCACCTTCGTCTTCTGATTCACCATTTTCTTCCCTGCCATCTCCTTCCTTGTCATCAAAAGAGTTGTCGTCAAATTCATCGTTATCACCATGTAATGACGTGTCTCCCGCCACCTGAGTAGGATCTTCATCTTCATCATTCTTATCATCATCCTCATCCGAATTGTACTCTCTTGCCCTTTTTTCAAATAGCTTCTTCATTTTATTGCCTATCTTAGTTTTTTTCTCATTAAATGGCATCACCTTCTGCTTCTTCCTCGTTTTTCCACTTTTTTTCTTGCTCCCAATATTTCGTTTGTTTGTCCCCTTCTGTAATTCTGTCATTGTCCCGAATTCTTCAAGAAAACAAATATGTTGGTCTAGCAAGTTTCCGATTAAAAAGTCGGGCTAATTTCAATGTTCCCTTGTATCTGTACATAATATAATAATAAAAATACAGTTAATTTGCCACATTTCGCACAAAAACTAACAGGAAAATAGTAACATAAATAAGGGTATGCTCTCTGGCAAAGAAATACTTATGCTGATTGCTTGAGTGTCTATCCCATTTTTTAAGTTTGTTGTACTTTTCAGCATTCTAGTGCAAAACCCTAAGCATCTATTAATATATAAAATCAAAAGAAATTTCCTACTCTGTTCCAGCACAAACATTCTCACAGGATAAATATACACCTTATCCTAAAGAAAAAAATCCACAACAAATAAGGATAATAATGTATAACAAAATCCCATTATGTGTGATATCATGCAGCTACTTCTTGAGCCGTGAGATGAGCTATTATACCATATCACCATAAATGCAAAGGCACAAACACACTGTGAATTTCCCCATAAATAGTAGCAAGGTTTTGTCAAATTAGCATCACCAAAGAACCCTTGGAATTTAGAGAATTAAAGGTCTTACCAAACCACATAAAAGCACAAAAGACTTAAAAGAAGTATAAACGTTGCACACACACAGCGTGTATAGCACATAAAAATGCTACATTTGTTCATAGAAAACATGGGGAGTGAATCCTAACAAGTCAAAAATCCACTACGATTTTAATTATAAACCCTAAATTAGGAGCCAAGAAAAGGGATGGAAAAGAGGTTATACACGAAAAATAGGTAAATACCACTACTTTTACCTTTTCTGAGTTAGACACGTACGCAACACAATCAAAGTTTGAGTGGCATAGAACGGTTGTGGAGCTAGCTAGCACAGATTGAAACCTGGAACTAATCTGGGGGGAGACAGCAGGGAAGAGAAGGAGCAGAAAGCAAAAATGTGAGAATATATAGGTAGGTTGGCACCACGAAAATATACTTTTATGATTTTTTTAGTAACTCATAGCTTTTGGTGACTAAAAAGATTTTAACAGAAAAAGGTAATAGTTTTTTGATAAAAAGTTGACTATTTGATTACTTCTGTTTTGATATACAAGCAGTTGAGATTAATTAATACTAAAACTACAGACTTTTCTCATATGCTACTCACTGTAGAATCTCAAAAAACATCTTTTATTCTTTATAAAGTTTTTGAAAATTGACATGTCAAACATACAAGTAGAAGCTTTTAAAGACTTTTTAAATAGTACAAAAGTTAGAAGGGATGGGCTTTGCCTCCCAAGCATGAACATAGATGGATCCGGCTCCTCAGAACAAAAAAAAAAATGAATGGTACATAGTACTCTCTCCTTCTCTTAAACTTTCCTTCTTTGATTGGCTCATTAACTTTGTCACTTTCCTTTTAAGTAAATAAGTAGAGAATTTATGGTTCCAGTTAAATCTTTCTCCTCTGCACAAATCTCAACCACGTAATTTTTACTTTATTAGTTCTCGTGCCGGTTAAACTTGATCAAGTTTTAAGGGACTGAGAGTATAAGATTAGTGGTCTATTTTTGACAGAAAACTCAATCCTATAGACACAGACCTAGTTACATTTATTTACGACATGTAAGTTAGTAGTGGACCCAATCCATATCAATTCAAATTCACTCACTTTTTTTAGGAATCTATAGTTCCTTTGAACGGGCTGGGCCGATCCAGATACATCCATTACTATAATATAATAGGAACCTCACCTAACTTGCCTTGTTTGAAACGGATAGGACCAATTCGGGTCAATTCGGGTCTTTTGATTCTTGTTTCCTATTCGGGTCTTTTGATTCTTTTTTATACAAACAAACAAAATAGTGGTAACAATGAATTATCTTAACTAAAAATAGCATATAAAAAAACAAATTAGTGGTAACAATAACAAATGATAGCATAATAAAAGCTAAAAGCATCAACAAACAAATCTCTCCAAAATCCAAATTAACAAAAAGTATACAAACGACTTTGAGTTAAAAATAATGTGACATGATCCAAATAACATAGCATCCTTCAATACTCCAAGCAACTCATTCATAGCTTAAAATCAAATAGCTCTAACAAAAAAAAATCTGCCAAAGCGAGACACCCACAAATGCACTACGTGTGATGCACTAATGCTTATAATGCTTATTATAGTAGCTAAGTATAATTTAAAAGTTAAAACAGACAAATAGATAAGCTTACCTGCTGTGGCGAGTAGACCGCGTGCGGTGCAGCGGTGCTGAAGTGATGAACGGCTTAACAAGGCTGGACTGCTGGCGCGCTTCGGTGGCAGGCCTGGAGCCCTATAAGGAGGTCACGGAGGACGGAGCCGCGGAGGTCGCCTTGGCCCTGGGTGGACTGCTGCGGATTGGGTGACTGTTCAATCGTTGTTTTTGTTGAATCACAGAGCTCTGGCTTTCTCTACTCTATTTTGGACTTGGACTACTCCATAATACTATAAGTCGATAACTACATTTTTTTTGTGGGCCTTCTTTTTTGAGGCCTTGTGCAATGGCGCTGGTTCTCCCCCATGGACCAGCCCTCAAAAATCGGACTGAACCATTCAAAATGAATACATATGAGTGCTTTATATTTTTTCATCCTAACAAATACTCCATCCATTTCACAATCAAAGTCACATTTTTCATTTTTTTTGGATGTTTCAAAAACAAAGTCACACTTCCCTTATTTTCTTACGGAGTATTTGACAAATAAATCTACATCAAAACAGTGTCAAACAGTGTCAAACAATGTCAAACAGTGTACTCTACAGTAAAGTCAATTTATTTCCTTAATGACTGTGAAGTCAAAATGTGACTTTCTTTTGGAAACGGAGGGAGTATCTTGTTTAGACCAATAATTTTGTAGGTCAAGAATGATTTCATTTGTCATTAAAATAGTTAAATGTGTCTGTATAAATTATGTTATTCTTTTCTTTTAGATGATTTATGATATATTTTTATATAGATTTAAAGAATGCTAAAATTTTAAAAATAATTAATATTACTAACATCCAGTAATGTAACGTATATGACTATTTGTTGTATCATATTTGTGTAGTTTTGTAACTAAATTAATACTCCCTCCGTCCCAATTTGTTTTGCAAAGTCAACATTTTTTGATCAACCAATAATAAAAGTCAACTCTCCCTACACATAATTAATTCAATTTTTAATAATTAAAATTTACATATTCAAAAACTATATTAAAATCTCTTCAAAGTTGTAAACTCCAAATTAGAAAATAATTAAAAATTGACATCCTAATTAAGTGAACAAAACGAGACTGTTTGACTAAGAAAAGTCAAACTTGCAACTCTTTTTGGGACGGAGGTAATATGATTTAAATCTTATCTTCCACGATACAACTATGAACTAGAAGTAATATTCAATATAGAGTAAAGAAGGATGATGATGAGATTTCATATCATATTTAAAAATTTGATGATATTTTTTTTATGTTTTATACGTGAATCATCATTTTGACATTTTCCAATGCAAAACTATTGATAATATTTTTTCCAATGCATCATCATTTTGTTATATATTTCATTAAGTGGGTTGCACTATTTGAGTATTTGCAACTTAAAACAAAAATGTAAGTCTCTTGAATCTTTCTTGACATTTATTGTGATATCTCTTGTATTTTATCAACATTTCATGTGAACTTATCGGTATGGTGTATTTACTAATTGCAAGTTTTTTTTAAAAAAAAATTAGCATTAGTTTGATATTGTATACCATACCCTTTCGTAATGACATGGTATGAATGGTTCCACCCTTAAAACGTAACCGAACCGTTAGCAACTTCACGCATACATTGCAGATTTTGCTAATTTAAAAGACCATTCTAGACCGCGTCTACCACTAAATCAAATAGTTAGTTACTATAGTTAAAGTTGTTATGTGATGAACTAGAAACCACTTGGTAGTGATAAATGAGTATAATACTCCTGCAACATATGCATTTAGTCAAGTATTATACTCCCTCCATTCCTTAAAATTTTGTCATCTTCCTTTTTGGGACGTCCTAAAAAACTTTGTCACTTTCCTTTTTAATCAATTATTTTGTGGTTCTTGTTATTTATCTCTCATCTGCACAACCCTCAACCACACAATTTTTACTTTATTATTCTCTGTGCCGGTCAAACTTGACAAAGTTTTAAGGGACGGATGTAGTAGTTGACTAGTTTACTTGATAAATGAGTAGCCGCCAATTCACTCCCCATACGAGAAGTCTCAGGTTCGAAATTCCATGGAGCCTGTTTATCCCGGCTCCCCCCAAGCTTCCTTTCCCTGATCCACGTCAAAAAATTGCATATTCATAAATAAATTATGAACCTCTACGAAGGGGTGTTTTAATCTACTTCGGAAAACTGATTTGTGAAAGTGAAAAAGTACTGATTGAAAAGATCTTAAATGAAAAAGGAGAGAATTATTTGAAAAAAAGAACTTATTATTTGATTTAGTTCAGTTTAACATACAAGTTATTGGGATTAATTAATGCTAAAGGATACACTCTTCTCAAATGTTATTGGAACTCTTTTATTCCTAAAAAGTTCTTAAAAATAGTACAAAGGTTAGAAGGTATGAACTTATTACCTACACGCTAAAGTCCCACACCGGATATCCCTGAAAGAATTAAACACTATATTAAGATCTGAGTTACTCCTCCAATAAGGTTGACCTTTTAGGATGGAACCCCGGATCTTAACATGGTACCAGAGTCAAATCGATCCACGGTATGGGTCCCCCATGAAAAATGATGGCATTATAAAAAAATAATGAACCGATGAAAAAATGAATGACGACACGATCCAAACAAAGTGTCTGGTCATGAGGAGGGGTGCTAAAGTCCCACACCGGATATCTGTGAAAGAATAAACACTATATTAAGATCTGAGCTTCTCCTCCTATAAGATTGACCTTTTAGGATGGAACCTGGATCTTAACACTACCAAACATGCACTTGATCTATAATTCCGTTAATTGGGCTCAGTGTAATTTAAAAGTAGGTATGAGTTAATGTGCCTAGCCAGGTACACGTTTAAAAGCGCGTATAAACCGACTCAAAAGCTTGTCACCATAAAAAAGCGAGTTTATAATATTCCCTCTGCATGGGTGGATCTTTGTAGGAGCCGGGTGGGCTGCAGCCCAGCCTAGACCAATTTTCTTATTAGTATAGCTATAAGTTTGATGCCCAACACACACCAAAATCAATATCCAACCCAGCCCAAGCCTACTAGGCTACTAATGTATTTGTACGTTCCTGACTTGTTCAACTTGCAAACTCGCTATTTGCGAACTGCGAAGCACGAAGCGGAAGGCGGGAGGAGTCAACTCAGTGGAGCGACAAAGGCACAAAGTCACAAACATAGGCTTAACAATTAACAGATAAAATTAGTGTTAACAATTAACATATAAAATTTCACATTTTAATTAGTTCAGTTTATTCCTTTCGATTCAGTTTTAAAGGATAAAAACCAAAACCGAACCAAACAACTATGGTTCGGTTCGTTTTTTTACATCTGATTTCGATTTTTTAGCGGTTCAAATTTATTTGGTTGTCGTTCAGTTTAGAGCCCGTTTGGTAGCACGAAAATCGGCTGTTTTGGCTGTTTCTGCTGAAATTTATGAAGTTCTGGCTGAAGTGGCTGTTTTGGCTGATTCTGCTGATTCTAGAAAAAAATATTTTAAAAATAGATTTTATTAATAAAATAAAGAAAAAATTACATGTAAAAATAGCTAAAATGGTCATCTACATTAACTTCAGCCAATACAGCCAGAAAAGTAACTCCAACCTTACTTTTTCTGCTTATTACACAATTCAGCACGCGAAAGTAAAAATTACGTGTTTGGTGAAAAAGTTGGCTGATAAGCCTGATAAGCCGAAAAAAGGGGTCTCCAAACGGGCTCTTATTTTGAATAGTTTTTTGGTTTTCGGTTTTCGGAACCAACCCTGATTAACTCCCTAGCCGCTTTCTAGCTGCTCGTGGAGCGTTCGAAAAAACTCGACTCGAGTTCAGTCATATACTCATATTAAGCTCGACTCGAGTTCGGCTCGATTCTAGTTCGACTCGACTCAAATAGATAACAAGCTTTATTCAAGCTTATTTGTATTAGAGTTGTGACTCGTAAGCCTTTGTGTCATATTATATATAGAAGGGGTGTTTGGTTAGAAGGCTATAAGCCTATTTTTGCTTGATTTGATTGTTTCTGGCCTTTTGATCGGATCAAACGGCCAATAAAAATATTTGGTTAAATGACTTTTTCATTTGACTTTTTATTTTAAACGGCCATAAAGTGAAATGTCATTAATCTTAGCTTTTACTCCTTTTAGGGTTGGCTTTTAAGAGCATCTCCAATGACTAGCTATACATGGTGCAGCTTTGCTTGCCACATCAGTCTTTTCTGGCTAATACATTTTCCAGCAACGTGATACTCCAATGGTTAGCTACAATGTTTCCCTCTTGGGTAGACCCCACAAATGACCAATCAATTAATTTTTAAAATACACATTTGTGAACGAATTGATTTATTAATTCAATAAAAATAATACTTATTCTTAAATACTACTCATATTAAACTGGGAAAATGTTAATAATATTTTTAAACCCATCAATTATCAGTGCTAGGGATAACATGCAAGTCCAATGGTAGGCTACTGGCTTGAATATTTTTAAAAATTGCAAGCAAGTCCCTAGGAGGAACCATTGGAGATGCTCTAATAACATTCTTATTTCCCTACATTACCCATGTGCGTAGACCTTCAATTCTTTTCCTTATTTGTGTCCCTCCTATTTGTTGAAGAAACATCCCTTCCATCAAAGAAAAAATCCATCAATTAATAATCACTTAAAAAATTCAAGTCAGAAACATTTGGAGGCCGTTTGGAACCACTGTTTTTCGGCTTATCACGCTTATCGGCGAACTTTTTCACCAAACACGTAAATTTTGCTTTCAATATTAAAAACATTTTGAAGTTACTTTTCTGGCTGTTTTGGTTGAAGTTATTGTAAATGACCATTTTAGCTATTTTTACATATAATTTTTTCTTTATTTTATTAATAAAATATATTTTAAAAATAGTTTTTTCTTATATCAGCAGAATCGGCCAATGCAGCCACTTCAACCAGATCTTCACAAATTTCAACAGAATCAGCCAAATTAACCGATTTCTGTGCTACCAAACAGACTCTTAGACAAGATCAAGAAAATAATTGGCTAAAGGATCAAATAGGTACATGAACTTACTTAAAGTGTTCAATTAGCCCCATATATAGGAGGTTCTGCCCGGCTGTCGTCAATTGGGGCGATTCCCGGTGGAATTTTTTGATGAAATTTTTACAGCATCTTCTTCATTAAGTCTAGTTTATCCATACCAAATTTCAGCTAAAAATTCAACCGATAAGGCAGTCAAATGCTTTTCCGAAATGTGTTGCGCTGTTTAACTGCACAGTTATCTTCGAAAAATCATTTGACTGCCTTCCCGGTTGAATTTTTAGCTGAGATTTGGTATGAGTAAACTAGACTTAATGAAGAAGATGCTCAAACAATTTCATCAAAAATTTGCACCGGGAACCGCCTCAATTGGCGACGGCCAGGTAGAACATCCCATATAAGGGGTTAATTGAACACTTTAAATTAGTTCATGTACTTATTTGACCCTTTATCCAAAATAATTTCTACGTCTACGGTTTGGACGCGTAGGCCTCAACATAGTAATAATACTCCAATTTCTCGCTTAACTCGTCAGATTCCTCAAAAGCCACGAGGACAGTGAAGGTGGGGTTCCAGCTTTATTTTTAATTTTAAAATGACCGTCCCAAATCCCAACATATCCGTATTTTATCTTGTGATTTAAGAAATGAAAATGCACGACTTGGTATACTTTAATACCGTAGTACTTCGTATGTGGGATACCAATTATATTGAGAGTCTCTTGAAATCAGTTGAATTGATTATTTGTTCCCGAAACGTTTAATTTTTTCCCAGCGGCAGAAGTGCTCGGACAGAAGGCTACGGATCAGAACACCTCGTTGGTGTTCTGATGGCAGAACCCCTCATGGGGTATTCTGATGGCCGCCCACCAGAGATGGGGTATTCTGATGGCCGCCCATCAGAGTTCGGGGTACTCTGATGGCCGCGGATCAGAGTTGGGGTCTTCTGATTGGCCTCCGATCAGAACCCCTCCCGGGGAGTTCTGATGGAGGTCTTCTCTCGCACTTCTGAAACGTTACAACGATAAATGCCCAACGTTTATATCTATTAATGCAGTGTTAAATGGACAGTTCATGGACAATTCAATGCCCAACGGACTGGTCATTGATGTCCAACGTTCAAGTCCATTAATTCACTATTTTCATACAACAAATCCTCCTATATAATGGCTGGCAGGTGGTTTGCAACAACACACGTTCTTACACGATTTTATACGAATCCATACACGTTTTAGCTCTAAAAACACACTGCTAGCACTCTGAAAATTCCTTCCGTGTTCAGTCTTTGTTCTCGTTCGCTGGAACTTTTGTTTGAGTGCTCAAACACTAGTTCGTTGTCATCGTATCCTGGGAAACTATTGTTGCAACGCTCCTAGCACCGTGGGAGGCAACAAATACGTTTTAAGGACATCGTGCGTAGCACGAGCTTTGACAAATTCTGCTTCATCTCCTTTCTTGTTTTTCTTTCGTCATTTTATTTAATTAATTTACTTTAATTAATTTTCTTTATTTTCCGAAACACACCCAACAATAATTTCAAGCAATTCAAAAATAACTTAAGCTTTGTTTATTTTTTTTTATTAAACATTTCCCGCGCAAAATCAAAAGTTGCATAATTAGCGAAAAACATCGATGGATAGAATTGATAAGTCGGAAAACAGAGTACCAAACGGACTCTAAACCCAACTCTACCTTATGATTAACTCGGCTCATGAGTTAACAATAGGGCTGGACATATCGGTTTTCGATTCGATTTTTATTGGTTTCGGTTCAGTCTGGTTTGAAACAGGTTGGAAGAATTATTACCAAACAATAGAGCCGACGTTTAGCATGTTCAACATGTTCTACAGAACAGGGTCTCCCGATTTCAGGGGCCCCAATTTTCTAAAAGTTTATTAGTATTACATAGTAATAACTAATAATATAAACAAATATTAATCAATAAAATAAAGTTTTTTTGTCGGTATTCTTACTCATGTTTTATTCAAATTGATTGAGAGATGAGTTGTGTAGCTTTAAATCAACTATAAAATGATTTTTATTACATTATTTGATGAATATTCAATTGATTTCAATATAAGTATTTTGTTTAAGTTTCTTTCTAATTCTTAATATTAATATAGGGCCTCGATTTTACGTTCGGAACGGGACCTCCAAATTCATTGGGCGGCTCTGCCAAACAACAAGCATACTACTTTTTGGTTTGGTTCAGTTTAGTTCAATTTGGTTCGGTTTGGATTTGTTATTTTTTTATACTCTGTAATACATGAAGTTTTTTTTTTGAATTTCTATAGTTCGGTTCAGTTTTGTTCGGTTTTTATCGGTTTCGGTTCGGTTAGTTTAATACGATTTGGAAGAAATAGTACCAAACTCAAATCAAATTGCATACAGTACGATTTTGGTTCGATTTCATTCGGTTTGATACGGTTCGGTTAAACCAAACCGTTATGACCACCCCTAATTAACCACATGCTTTTTGCCTCATTTATTTGTGTTAATGACAAGGATTTAAAAAAAAAACTCTACTATTTCCTCTTAGGGACTAGGGAGTATGATATTATTTTTTAAAAAAATTAAGAAAACATTAAAGTAGAAATAATACTCCCATAAGCTACAATTGGACATTGAACGTGCAGCTAGTGAGGTTGGGGAAGGGACAAAATTTGTGGCGGGGCCAAGAGCGTCTGAATATTATTAAAATGTAAAAATAATAATACGTAGTAATAATAACAATAAATGGGGGAAGGGGCGGTCTTTATTACACATACAAGGTTATGGCAAAGCTTCGCATCATCCATTTCTTAATATAGATAATTCACCACCTCCCTGCCTCTTTAAGTTTGGGATCCTCTGAAATCTCCCCAACTCCCCAACTTCATCTTCTTCCCAGAATAGTAACAGTCCTTGCAATTTGCAGAAGGGATAGACTTCTCCTTCTCCTCCATCTCCAACACCCGTGCAGGTACTACCAGTCTACCACCTCTTGCTTCTATTCTGCCTTTCTTTATTCCTTTTTCCCTTTTCTTTTGTAGTTCACGAAAAGTTTTGCTTTTTATATGTGGATTGTGTGTGGAATAAAGTGAAGATAAAGTGGGTAATCCGTTTCTGGATGAGCTAACATGTAAAGTGGGTTCAATAATCTGGTTTCAGATCTCAGTTTGAAGCCCGGTTACAATTTAATCATTATTTCCCAACATATCCCACAAGAGCTGGCTCTGTCTCTTTCCTTGCCCCTTTTTTCTTCCATAGTTGTTGAAAAATTAAAGTTGGTTTTTTCTTCTTCCATAAAGTAAGCCTTTTTAACACATCTTTAATTGAAAAGAATGATATATTGTGAATGGGTGATAAAATTGCTCCCTGGGTTTCAATTGGTGGATCTGAAATCAGAATTAGAAGGATTTAGGGTTTTGATTATTTTCTGGGTATCTTCATACTAGAAGAATAATCTTCTTTGTTCACAGAAGTGTAGTTATGCAGGCGGATGTGATCTTGTGCAGTTTTATTTATATAATAATTTTTTAATTATCTGTGTTTTTCTTTTGCAGATCTGTGTGTTGAGCTCTGCTGTTTTTCTGAGGAATCTCACTTCCATAGTTTCAGTTGAAAAAAGGTAGGTTTTTTTTGTAAAATACAATCTCACAAGGCTTGTTTGGTTGGGTTTTTTCTGGGGAGTCCTTGTCTAATGGTGCTATACTGCTATCATATATCAAGAAACAACTATCTCCTATTCTCTTATTGGACCCCTTCCCTACTAAGTTTCACCCAACAAAACTAAAATAATAGTTTAATTAATTAAACAATATTGCCATCCCCTCCAAAATCCCCAACCAAACAAGATGGTGTGGTCTTATTTATTTAGTGTAATAATAATACAAAGAATGAAGATATTATGAGTTGGAAGAGGTTTATTTATTTCATGGTTTATATACACAAGAGATGATCAAGATAAGAACAAAATTAAATCTAAAATAGCCACCCATCTGATTTTCCTCTTTGGTGATGTTGATCCTATCTATCTACCAAGTTAATTTTACAAGATAAGTAAACAAAATATGAATATAGTATTTCATTCAAATAGTAGTTTGTACAAGCAATTTCTAAGATTTTGAGTTATGTGATTTCTTATCAGATTTCCTTTAAAGATAACTTTTTTCACTGTTATTCATATTAGAGAAAATCAAGATGCAAAAAAAAAACTAAAATTATGACCTAAAGGATTTCCCTCTCTTAGTGTGGTGATTATATTCATTCACTAGAATTATTAATACAAAATAAGCAAACTGTAAATATAATATTTTGTGTGTAAAACAAATATAATCTTGAACTACTCATATAATGTCATCTTCGAATGGAACCTCAAGTCTTACTATTTTGTTTACTTCATTCTCATAGCTTCTTCTGTTCCTTGGCAGGTTTTTGGTGCATTATGGGTCTCTCACCTTACTCTTCTCCTAATGATGCTGGAGTTTTGTGTGTGATTTTGGTCAACACTGCCATATCCATCTCAATTGTCAAAGACATGTTTCGCTCATTCCTCAGTATCATCGGCATCCGGATTTCGTCATGGGAAGAGTATTCCATCGACGGAACAATGATGGACAATACACTTGAATGCCGTGGAACTCCATCGGAGTCCTACATGGAGGAGTTTCGGCACCAAACTCCTGCAATCCGGTATGACTCGATGTGCGCCGCCTCTAAGAACCATCCGGAACAACAAGAATGTTCTGTTTGCTTGACAGAATTTGCACCCGAGGCTGAGATCAACCGATTGCCATGCGGGCATGTATTCCACAAGGCGTGTCTTGAGAAGTGGTTGAAGTATTGGAATCTCACATGCCCTCTTTGCAGGAATAACATGATCACCCCCCAAGTAGGTGAGGAAGATGATGGTTGTCCTCCCATGTGAGCGCTTAGAGGTTTGTCCAAGTCCACCCACCTTCATGTGTATAGGTTTAGGTGTATTGCCCTATCACAGATCAAGTTTTATATATGGACGCTTGACTGTTGCGTTAAGGAATTGTAGTGTTGTACCTATCTTTATCCGGCAATGGTTGCGTCCTTCATAGCGACGGGTCCTTGCGACCGTTATGCATTGCTGTACATTTTCTATAAGATATATAATAGTAATCTTCTTCAATTCAGAATCTTCTCTCCCTTTAATCTTTACTAGTCTTAATTCTTATGCTATTGTTACTTGCTTTCTTCAATGTCTATATTTTCAAAATGGGGTTGCAGACAAAGTTCCAATTGCCAGCTTTTCAAATAAGGCCTGCCTTATTTCACCTATTTTAAGAAAATGTCAATAGCTTCCCTACCTCAATGTTCACTGGTGTGGATGATCATTTCCTTTCATGGCATTACAGCAGCATCTCCATGCTCATGTGTGGAATGATGGTCATTTCTTTTGGGAACAATTTATACCCCATCGGTTACGTATGAATTAACAGTTATATTAGTGAGTTTAACTCCGAGGCGGTAAGACACAATTGCCTCTTCAAGATGGCTGTTTGTTAGAACAAATCAATCTTGAAATTCATATGCTCTTTTTTGGTCTTAGTTTGATCAAGTTACTCATGTGAACAGAATTAAGTTGGACTTTGGGATTTTATATCATAAGGTCAACTTAATAATCTTATATGTTGATTTCTATCTATATATTTGGCTAGTGGGAAATGTCCTAGCAAGTTGTGAATAGAAACAAAAAGGTTCTGGCAAGTAAGTGTTGTATGTATGTATATCCATTAAATTTGCTGTCAAAACTGTGCATCATATATTATTACAAAGATAAACATAGTTATAAACGAAAGAACAAGAAGATAAATAGTTTATATATCAATCATAATAAAAACACAAGTTCTTCAAAATGTACAGTTCTTTAACAGATGAAGATCATCATCATCATTTGTCCAACAATGATGACTCATCTCTAGAAACCACATGTCACCTCATACACGGGCCCCTATTTACGTGCGGCCAGCTCAGAGAGCTTGCTGGCGACCGAAGCGCTTCCTAGCTCGGAGAGATTGGAGGCGACAGACATGGTGGCGCGTGTGAGCTTGGTGTTCCTGTGGTAGCGGCACCTAAACGAGCCGGGGTGAGTGGTGGGGGAGCAGAGGCAGGTTTTCCGGTGGCCCGTCGGGGAAGATGGCATTGACGCTGCGGTCGGCGGGAAGTTCTTTACTGCCTCCATGCATATTTGTGACACAAGCAACTTCCTTTTATCATCATTATGTTCATAGTCAATGGCTTGGTGTTCAGACATCCTTCATAAAAAAAAATGCAGGCCTCAATCAACAAGGAGTCAAATTGTACAGATAAAAACTACTGGTATATGAATATATCATTATAAATTGGTTGTATTTTCATAATTAAAAAGAAAGATAAAACTGATGGAAAGAATCTTATCATAACCTGGACATTTTTTAACTTTATTTACGAAAGTTGTTTTCTTGCAAAACAATTCATTCAAAAAATCAACCCCAAAACCTTTTTCATAGAGAATGACTCCCCCAAATGTATCACAAATCCTTGTTTAATTTTGAATGTTCGAGAACAAATTATCTACGATTTTGAATACCCAATTCCTAATTTCATAACCCTAAAGGAGAGAGGGACATACTTATAAATAAACAACAAATGACAAATTCTATACATGGTATTAAGTAATGATGATGAAAAAAAGATTAAAAAATGGTTGAAATTAAAGGATTTACCTGAATTGGCAGGGTTGAATATCGGAAAAGTTTTTCCGATGATAATCGTCGTGAAATTTGAAGGTGGCGTTTGTTGGAGGAAATGTCTGGTTTTGGTTTTTTGTCTAAGGGATAGAATTTTTAGGCAGTGATTAGGAGAGTAATAAACAGAAGAATTAGGTGATCCTCGAACTTTATTATTGACTAAATAATAAATATTTCGGAGTCCAAATTAATGATATATAATCCTCTCTCTCCCTATTATTTCTCACTATTTTATTCAATGAAAATTGTTCCCAAAAAAACTTTATTTAATGAAACAAGTCCACGTGACGTAAATACAAGATGCAGTTAATGCGTCTGAACGCTACTGTTTTACACCAACTTGCATGGTTGCATATTTCATCCGATTTGATACGAAGTCTAGAAAAGTTTTGATGTCTTAAGAAATTTGTACACATTTTTGTCTTAGGCATTTTCTACTTGCTTCAGTTGCTTGTATACATAAAGAGCTCGTTGAGAAGATGTCTGTCTATACAAGTAACTAGGAGTTGCGTACACAAAATGTGTACAAATTTCGTGTACAAATAGCTAACATTAGGGATGGACCCGGGCCGGGCCGGGCCCGGGCGGGCTTTTTTTCGGGTTACATGGGCCCGGAACCGGCCCGGGTTGATACCGGGTCCGGGCCTAACCGGGCCGGGCCGGGCCGGGCCCGGTTCAATGTTTTTTTTTTTTTTTTTTTTTTTGACTTTCTTGTTATCTCCCTACCCCCCCCCCCCCTCACCCCCACGCCCCAAACCTCCCTAAAACACCCAGCCCTACCCTAGGAAAAGAAAAAAAATTGAAAAAACCAAAAAAAAAAAAAAAAAATGAACCGGGCCCGGCCCGAACCGCCCGGGCCGGTTCAACAAAAACAGGGCCCGGAACCGGCCCGCCCGACCCGCCAAAACGGGCTAAAAGCCCGGAACCGGCCAACCGGGCCCGGTCCGGTCCGGGCCCGCACAGTAGCGGGCCGGTCCGGTTCCGGGCCGGTTCGGCCCGGCCCAGTCCATCCCTAGCTAACATGGTTCTATTTTTTTTCTTAATTTGTGGACAAAATGACCTTAAATAATACTTTGTGCGTACTAATGAAATCACGATTCAAAACATCAACAATAAAATTAGAAGAGGGAAAGAAAGTTAACAAGCGCACCCGAGCTAGCTAGCTCATGGGCGATACGGTTTGCATACCGTTTGGTATGCGAGAAAGAAACGCTAGAAAAATTAGCCACTTCTTTAACATCATCATAACTCGAAATGTCCATTACGCTGTGAATGGTAGAAATAATTTGAAGTGCATTTCTTTAGCATAAGTGAGATAGACTGTGAGAGTCTCTCGAAGCCCTAAAACTTCGAAACAAAATTAAGAATTAAAGTTTGTAATTAATGTGATCCTGATAATAATCTAGACAAAGGTTAAAAGGATGCATACACGAATGTTATATGACCTCCATTTTAATATTTTATCACATACGAAGTATGATTTAAATCCATTCCGTCCACATCCATGGCATCCACTTTCATGTCTTTTAGCCAAATTCAAAGTCAATGAATAAGTTCTCTACACACTTTTTACTTCCACACTTATATGAATGATAACTCACTTTTCATGCTCACATGGACACATGGTTTATGGTTAAGCCATCTTTATCGAGTATGAAGATACAAATCAAGGTGTAAAACTTTTGAACTAATCCTCATACTAGATTGAGTGATTGAACTTTTAAGATGAGGCTTGAAAGTATTACTATGTTAACAAAGAAAATTAAACATTAATACCAATTAGATGTTAATAAGTTTCTACACCGACTAGGCGACTAACATGTACTACGTATTTTAGCACACTTCTTTTCACTACTACTATTGGATTAATCTCGTACATAATAAACCTGGGCTCTGATCTCCCATGCATCCTTTCACCCATATATCCTACTAGTAATAACTTTTACTTCCATAACATGTTAAAATGGACCCTCAAATTTGAAGTCTTCCCAACTTGCATGCCTAGCTAGCTACCTATTTGATGGAGCCAATTAAGATGCATGTAGGTCACTTCATTAATTGTATTAATTTTGTAAAGCGCAGCTCTTGGATTTTGGACACAAACTCTCAAGACCAACCTATCTAGCTACCCTACGTACCTTGCCTCTATAATAGCTCCACCAACTTATAAACTACAATAACAAACTCTTAAACCGTATACCTTGCCCCAGACCCCCTACCCCACCCCACATGGCCACATGCATGCTCAAATGGACCCCGGTCTTATACCAACTTGATCCCTATCCCTTTCAAGATTCAATCAAACCGTTGGCCATGGATAAGATATATAGCTTTCGGATCAAATAAAAACCAACCTTAACGTGAAAATTGTATGTTGTTCGCTTTTTTCCGAATGTAATGCACTAAAAGTATGGTATATGACACTTTTTTGAACTTTTGCAAAAGTGAACGATTTCCAGTTTTCACAAAAAGAATGATTTTTAATTGATTCGGGCGTGGTATACATGTATATATGGACATTGGGTTGGTGGGTGTAGTCCAATGGATGACCGTCCACTCCCAAGTCTCTCCTTTGTGAGAAGTCTTGGATTCGATTCCCACCAATGGTGATGATGGAGGTCTTGCTCTCAATGATTCTTCCTACCTTCACGGAGTTGCTCAGCGGCTCAGAAGGGAGATGATGGTAATGAAGACAACGGATTCGTGTGGTGGGAGGAGCACTCTGGATATAACAATGTAAGTTCTGTTGGATACGTCCTTTGAAGCCAGTACCAATGGAGCTGACTTGATCAAATTCGAGTTTAATTATCTAGGGACTTTGGAGGATTGTTCATGGACTTTAGGATTATGGGAGCATAAACCCCGACACTTGGATTATCCACAAAAAATGTGTATATGGACGTTCTATATATCGTTTTCACTACCATTACATGCCACCATGAACCCCACCATGTTGAACCTCGTTAGTAGGTGAAAATCCACGTTCTCAACAAAAACATCCCCATGATAACGGTATTAAGGCGACCTATCATTTGCTCCCACAGGAAATGGACTCCATTGCAAAGAAAGGGTATTTTTCTAAATACCAATGTATATACGTATAAATTATAAATGGATGGGGCCGCTGCCCCCAATTTTTTTTCTTTTTCTTTTTCAAGCTGATATAAATCATATAATTGCCCCAAAACTAGTACGAGTACATGTGTTTTCATGTGCAGAAAATATGGAAGTTTTAGAAGAAAAACAATGACATTTTGTGGCTGAAAATTGTGGCACTTTTAAAAAATTATGTGATTATCAAATAATTATGGAAAGATGTAAAATATGAGAAGAAAAAAATCAAGCTTAATAATGGCATGTTGCCACATTTACACGTATAGTTTTTTATAAAAAATGATATCATTTGATAAACAAAACAAAAAAGAAATAATTCCAAATATATAACCAAAAATAGATAGTGGATAAAAATGTGACTTTGGTAACTTAAGTGACTACAGTTGTATTCAAATGTTACATCATAGTGACTATAAACTTACACATAGTAACTTATAGTCACTTTTTTGTCCACAAGTTTTTTATTAGTAATATTTTAGGACAATTCTCAACAAAAAAATGACATTTTAAGTGCTGAAATTTTAAAGTCATGTTATCATCTTGATAAATAATACTCTTTTCATCCCATAAAATTTGATCAAAGTTGACTTACACGAAGAATAATAAAATAATAAAAACTGCATGATTGATATTTGTGTAGAGGAAAGAGAAATAGTTTTAGCCACATATTAGTTACTTAAAGGGGTTTTTACCTGGATATTACTAATTTTGAACCAATTACCCAAAAAGTGATTACTTTTAAAAAGGGCAAAAAAGTGATCAAGAAAGTCATATATGTGCAATTAGAAAACATGATGTAACTGCAAAAATTTTATGTCACTGCGTGTTCGTTTTTTGTAACTACAGCTACCACCCATGTCACTACAACCACCGCCTGTGTCACTGTAGCCACCGCCCGTGTCACTGTAGCCACCGCCCGTGTCACTACAACCACTGCCCGTGTCACTGTAGCCACCGCCCGTGTCACTGTAGCCACCGCCCGTGTCACTGTAGCCACCGCCCGTGTCACTGCAGCCACCGCCTGTGTCACTGTAGCCACCGCCCATGTCACTGTAGCCCCCGCCCGTGTCACTGTAGCAAAAATTTTATGTCACTATGTTCATTTTTTTGTAACTAAGAGTTGTCATCGTCAAATTTTTTCACGCCAATTGCACCGTCACCGCCACAGTGACATCTCCACCCCAGCTTTTGACCGCCGTGACTTCTCCGTCGCCAATAACCACTGGCCACCTCTGGTCACCTCCACAAGCCATAGTTACACCACCGCAGTGAATCTCCGCAATTTCAACTCTGTAGTGACACACAATTGCTCCGGCCAGAGTATTCCGGCCACCACCACCATCCCATTCCCCCACTGCGTCTCTCCCACACGCCTACTTCCATTGCCCCTCCCATCAAAACACCCGAGCACCAGAAATTCCATCCCCAGCCCCTGCTTCCTCTAGCCATGACTCCCTGACCTGCCGCAGACCACCTCTTAAGCTTCAATTCCGGCCAACTTGCCCAGATTCAATCCTCCCCAACCCATGCTCCGACCAACCCAACTCAAGCCAGCCAACCACAACTCCAACCAATTCAACCCAACTCCGCAGCCCCCCAATCAACCCAACCACGACTGAACCACCATTTCCACGCTTAAAACCCAATCTCTGCCGCAAATCCGTCTCACCAAGCCTCTGCCACTGTAGCTAAACTACAGTCTAAAGGAATAGGGCTCAAGAGCTCAACGATTTTATGCGGACCAAGCCGCAAAACCGTCGCACCAAGCCGCCGTCACTGTAGACAAACAGAAATCGACGCAAGAGGGGGAGGACAACGACGACGAGCGCGGAGCATAGAAGTGGAAGCGGATGGAGGCCGCCAGAGGCATCAGTTTCCGGCTGTAAGGTCGATGATGGAGGAGTGATGGAGTATACCTCTGCGATCGATCGTTCCCAGGAGTGTAGATCTGGATGCGGAAGAATAGATTTGGACGCGGAAGAAGCGTATATATGGGGTCACTTTTTTGTGAATTTTAAAAAAGGTCATATTTTTGCCTGTTAAAACGTTATAGGTTATATTTGGGCCATTCTTTCTTACTTAAATAGAAATGACAAAGTTTTCTGGGACAATAATAATAGGAAATTTGGTTAAGTTTTATGGGCCGAAG